TCAGGCATTAAGATATGTTTCAAGCACGGATGATTATCATAAGAGATTCCCAACATATCATAGGATTCTTGTTCTTGAAAATCCACGCTTTTCCAAACCTAGAAAGCAGACGGAATTCTAGGATTTCTCCTTGAGGCAAATACTTTTACGCATACTTCTTCTGGTTGATCCACACCATATTCTATTCTGGTAAGATGATACACACTAGTTAACAGCCCGCCAGGTGCTACATCATAGGCACATTGGGGTCAACGGAATAGACCAGCGGCCTCTGATATCCATATAAAGACACGACGAGCATAAATACCCTCTTTAACTTCTATTCTAACTGCCATTAAGGTTGATTTTCACCCGACTGATAGGTCGATCATTTGTTGAAGCTTCTTCGAGCAGGCTGGCGATCAGTTCTACCATCTGAACACATCCTGATAAAGTTGGTAGTACTGCCCGAGACATCCCATCAACTTTTGAGAAAACACGTAGCTTCACCCTGTGCCCCTAGCTGACACTCCTCATTTAAGGCACCAACACCTTTTTCGTGTTAAATACCGTCCTTCAAGCTAAAAAACTACAAGCAAACTAACCCAAGCTTACCTAAGCCAAATCTTTCAAAGATCATCACGATCATCATTGTTCTTCTCCTTACTATTACTTAGTTGAACATATCATATACTAAACATTCAGATGTAATTTCTATGCAAAATCTGTAATAAAATTCTGGAAAAAACCATCTCTTTCTCGATCGGCTGTTGTCTTGCTTTATTTTTACACATATATATTTTACCGCGATCTCCTTATATTCCACAATTCTAAAAATACACCATAATTATATCGTAACTCCCGATTAAATCGCCTTAGACACGTTTTTTGTGTAACCGTTGATGACCCAGCCCACCGTCAACTAACATTCATATATCTTTTTAACACACCCTAGCAATATCAATAGCATATTCCGAAATATTTTTTTTTTTCGTTAATGTCATATCTACCAACTATCCCAAAACTCATGTTTTTCTCAACTTCAACAATACAATAATTATATGAACACATAAATACAAGCACAACAAGAAGATAAGAAGATGATTCATGCGAAAAAAAAAAAAAAAAA